TCGTGTTGACAAATGGTGGGGAAACAGGAAGGAACTGGCTACTGTTCGCACCATCTGTAGCCATGTACAGAACATGATCAAGGGTGTTACACTGGTAAGAAAATTGATTAGACTTTATTTTGAAAGGTTGTACTTGGCTGTACTTTAGTAATATGTAATAAATACCTGCTTTGGAGAATGAACTGTACATGTGATTTTGATGAGATACTTGATCTGTGTTAACTTGTAGAGCTGTTAGGACATACCTCTGGGTTCTTAGGATTAAGTAGTAAGTGGAAGTGACATTTCTAAAAATGTTTATCAACATATGTAAAATAGTCTTTTGTTACTTGTTAATATGGTTTAGACATCAGGCAGCCCCTGTACTGGAAATAATGGTCTTTGCCTTTAATGTTTGCTATCTTTTAAACCTTAGCCCTTCTGCAATGTGCCTAACAGTAATGGCAGTCTTGTATTCCATTTTAAGTTTGTCAGCTCTTAACTTCCTCTGCTGCCCTTGCTTTCTGGGAGAAAGATGGCAGTCTCCTCCTGTGATTAACTGCTGAAAACCACTGGAGGGTCAGCTATGGTTGGTTCTGACTATGTTACACAACAAACACTCTTATCTAGGGAGCTCTGATGGCATAGTCTCAATAGTCTGTAGGAGGTTGCACTGCTAACCTAAAGGAAGCACATCTATGACACTTCGAATCCACCAGCAGCTCCTGGTGAGAGAGGGCAGTAATCTCTTGTGCAATTTACAGTCTCAGAAATGCAGTGGTGGGCTAATAGTTCTGACTTGATGGCAGTGAGACTGTTGATCACAGAGGGCAGGGTGCCTATCTTCATTTTGGTGTCTTCCCTCCCATTCCAAAGAAAGGGGACCTAACAGAGTACAGAAATTACCGAATAATATCATTACTATCACATGAAAGCAAGGTTCATTAACAGAACTGCCAGAAGTGCAGGCTGGGTTTAGAAGATGCTAGGGCTATGACAGCTAATGTTAGGTGGATCTTGGCTGCAAGCAGAGAGTACCAGAGGAATTTGTGTTTTATTGACTATGCAAAGGCATTTGACTGTGTGGATTACAACAAATTGTAGCTAACTCTGAGAATGGGAATCCCAGAACACTTGATCATGCTTATGCGAAACCTATACTTGGAAAAGGAAGCAGTCATCAGAACAGAGCAAGGAGAGCAAGGTCCTATCTCCGTACCTCTTTCAACCTATATTCAGAACAGATTATCCAGGAGATGGCTCTGTGAGGAAAATTGTGGCATCAGGTTCGTTCATCAACAGTCTGCATTTTGCAAATGACACAGCCCTGCCTGCTGAAACTGAGGAGGACCTGAAGCACAAGCTGCAGAAGGTCAAGGACTGCAGCCTTCAATGTGGATTGAAGCTCCACATTAAGAAAACAAAGATTGTCACCACTGGGCCGATTGGCAGCATCATGTTAGATGATGAAGAGATTGAGTCTGTTGACAGCTGTAATTTGCTTGGCTGCACAATCAACACCCGTGGTACTAGCAGCCAGGAAATCAAGAGACGAATTGCATTGGGAATTCAGCTGTCAGCTGTCGGGGACCTCTCCAGAGTAGTGAAGAGCAGTTAATGTCCTTCACACTAACGTGTGCCTGATCCAGGCTGTAGTCTTTGCAATTACTTGCTATGCGTCAGAGAACTGGATAGTGACTAGGGATGATAGAAAGAATTGATACTTTTGAGCTGTGGTGTTGGAGAAGAATATTAAATATACCATGGGCTGCTACAGAACACAGGTTCATCCTAAAAGGTGAAGCCAGCCTGCTCCTTGGAGGCAAGGATTACTTTGGACATGTTCTTGCAAGGAGGGACCAGTCCTTGGAGAAGGACATCATGCTTGGAACAGTAGAGAGGGACAGCACAGAAGAGGAAGACCCTCCATGAGCTGGATTGATTTAGTGACTCGGGTGATGGTTGTGGGTGTGTCAAGAGACGATAAGAATGGCAGGGTATAGGACATAGGGTATAGCAGGTACATAGGGTTGCTGAGTCGCAGGTGACTCAAAACAACCTAATTATGCAAATGTTAATCTAATGCCAAAGATAAGAAGGTAGTATTTCTGCCTCAGCAACACTCCATTTGGCTATAATCTTTATAGGGGGAGACTTGTTCTCCATGCATTACCTCAGGGAGCTCTGGTGACTTAGCAGTAAGGAATTATACTGCCAGTAGTTTGAAAATCTACCAGCTGCTCCATGAGGAAAAGATGGACATTTTCCTTCTGAGCTCTTCCTCTGAAAAATCTGCTGGAGGGTCACCTGTGGGTCAAACTCCCAACTTGACAGTACACAGCTACAACTGTTAACCTGTCTCCCATACCACCAGAGCTCTTTGTATTGAGACTCTGAAAACTCATTCTTCTGCAGATTTCCACAGGCTGTAGATTGAAACTATAATTTGTTCTTTAGCCAGTACCTCACAGGAACTTTATAAGGAACCCAAAGGGAGTGTTCCTGGTAACCCAAATGTCAGTACAGTGGTTCAGTTACACCAGTTGCTGCTCTTCTGAGAGGTTTTTGATGATGTGTTTTTTCTTTTTGGGGGGTGGGGTTGCCTCTGAATTTCAATGCTTTGAGTAAGTTTGTTTAAAAAGTCTAGTTCAAGAACATGTTTACATATAAAATGGTTGTAAGGCTTAGTACAAGCCACACTCCTCATGACAGCAGACATTAGTAGTGGTATTACTTTTGGAATGTTTTCTATGTTCTCCATGTTAATAATTTGTGCCTCTAACGCAGGGCTTTCGTTACAAGATGAGGTCTGTGTATGCTCATTTCCCCATCAACGTTGTGATTCAAGAGAGTGGATCTCTGGTTGAAATTAGAAACTTCTTGGGTGAAAAATACATTCGGAGAGTTCGAATGAGACCAGGTGTGTGCCCGTTCTTTGATTAAGAAGAAATTTGTATAAACTAATTTTGAGGTGGTTTTTTGATAAGACTATGAAGCAAATTGTGAAGCATATTCTTGGACACATAAGTGAAAGGTTGTTGGTTCAGACCCACCTAGAAGTAAGTTTGAGGCCAATTT